TAATGACAGGGTGTTGTATGCAAAAATACAAATAAAAGATTTAGAAATTATTTAAAAATTTAAAATCAATTCCGTATTTACAATGAAAGAAAATAGCTTGCACATTTCCATTCATAGAGACCTACAGCAAAATGTGGTCTTGATGTGGTCTGAAGACAGAAAAATAACACTCCAAAGAAGTTTGCTATTTGTTCAAACTACTTATTTAAAATGTGGCGAAACAACACAATTTTTTGTTTGTTTTTTGTATGTTGGAGGGACAACTTAATTGTTTTAATGTTTAATCCACTTAAATTTGCAAAAACAAGTAAGTTAATTCCTTCATGTTGTCCCTACACAAATCGATAGTGTGGAACCCAGCATTTTTACAGAGAAAATGATGATTTATTTTTGTGATAGTCACAAGTCTATAATGCATAAATAAACTAGCAATTTTGCAATATATTATTAATCTTAAATTTGAAATTTATGTTCATTTACGAATAATTTAAGAGATTTCTGCCTCCATTGAAAGTTCATGCAAACAAGCGTGCTTTGAAAGCTTTAGACACAATATGATAAACAAATTAAATCTGAAACTATTATTCACATAAAAACACTGATCAAGGCACACAAATAGGGCATATCAAATATAATAAACAGAAGTTCAAACATGCTTGTATGAAATTTGAGAGCCAATAAAGTCAATCGAGTATGGCCGAGCTTTACCATATTTGATGAACTACATACGAGCACTCATTCATTATTCTCCAGCTTACTCCCTGATTTATCAAGGGTTGCCACAGCGGAATAAAACACCAACTATTCCAGCATGTTTTTAACGCAGTGGATGCCCTTCCAGCATACTGGAAAACACCCATACACTCTCGCATTCACACACACACTCATACACTACGGCCAATTTAGCTTATTCAATTCACCTATAGCGCATGTCTTTGGACTGTAAAGGAAAGCCACGCCAACACAGGGAGAACATGGAAACTCCACACAGAAATGCCAACTGGCCCAGCTGGGACTCGAACTAGTGTCCTTTTTGCTGTGAGGCAAAAGTGTTAACCACTGAGCCACCATGGCCCCACATAAGAGCACTGATAAATGTTAATGTGTAAATTAAAGACAGCAATACATCTGTACATTATATTTCAAGTATTTTTAGAATTTTCTGAAAGAAAAAAAAATCTTAGCAATTTGAAGTTTCACTAAAAAAGTTTTGAATGGAAAATAATGGTTTGGCAATAATGGTTGAGTAAATTACAACTTTTGTCTTAACTATAACTTAAACTACAGTGTTTGTGAAGGCTTTAAGCACTATAAAAGCAGGTTTTCATAATCATCTGCTGCCTTCAGTAAACAGAGGGAAAAGCCATGTCTCTAATGTTTGAGGACAAAGGCTGTAAAACATAAACATAATCCCAAAAAACAGATCAAATTATTGTAGCAAGCAGATTTAAAAGAATATAATCCCCATGACATCAACAAAGAGCAACAGAAGATACAGTAATGCAGTCTCAGCCTCAGACAGCACACCCACAGGCCTCCCACAGGCCATTCACCAACTGTCTGATGCACATTTTACACCCAAACATGAACAAAAACACCAGTTCAATCCTGGAAACAAAGTTATATTCTGTTAAACTTTTTATTTTCTGTCAAACTGTTAAATAAACGGCATGCCTTAAGCTGGAGTCAGAGGTCTGCTACACACACCTAGTTTATCACTAAACAGTTATTTTTTTCTGTCCAGATGAGCAGTATTTATCTTGTGTGGCTTAGACATCGAAAAAACAGAGCCAAAACCATGAGTCCATGATGTCCATGAGTATCTGAGATAAATACTCACTCAATTTAGCACACTAGACATAGTTCAGGTCTGAATTCTCTCTTCTGAACTTCACTGAAGTATCTCAGAATTAAACATACAACATATTTCAACACTTTCAGCTAAATAAGCAGCATCCTGTTTAGACACGGCAAGGTCTGAATAGAGGTTGAAATGAGAATAGTGTTATTTTGAGTTTTTTTACTCCAACGTACTGTGTACATTACATTCAAAGGGGATACAGGAAAGTAGAGCACTAAATATCTGTAAAATACATTCATAACGAAGCCCACCCAAAAGCTTACGCACTGATTTGTCATTGGCCTACTTCCATCTACTGAACATCTGTGTGTGGAAATGCACAGGCATCATGCTTTACCACTAAATGTGTGTGCTTGTTTGTGTGGAAATGAGAGAGAGATGCACTGACTGTTTACATGCACATGCACAAAATTTCTTATTAAGGTTATAACTAAAAAGAGCTTCACAGCTACTAGGATATTCTTGTAATATATTCTTGTTTATCTTTTCTATTTCTGTGAACTGTCTTTCCATTATAAAATTGCCACGTTTAAGGTCTGACTTCTTTAAAAATCAGTGATCTTCACTGCCTGATATATATATATATATATATATGAGCAATTCCATGAAAATGTCAACCTTGCCATGAAAAGAAAAATGTTTTCACCAAAATAGCGAAACCGTTTCTACATTTTTTGCGCAGGCAAGTGTTTTACAGTACTTTAAAAATACTTAAAAATGTCGCTGTCAATGTTTTCAAACTATTATATTTGATTTACCAAAGTCAAACAAATGACAATTTCACATCTGTCACATCCATAACGAAAAAGTGTCACATCCATAACAAAGCTTTTCCCTCAAAAATGCAAACATGTCAAAAAAAAAATAAAATCAATCAGTTTTGTTCTATAAAGAGCCAACTCTTATCCTTTTGTTGAGCATTATTTATTTTGGGTTGTGCAGTTTAATTCACAGAATTTCTACGAAATATGTTGTATACTGTAAACTCACAAACTTTTTTTGTCACATCCATAATGCTTGTTTATTTTCCTCATTTAAAGTATAAAAATGTTCACAGATTGAATTTTTTTGATCCCATAACTTTGTGGTTAGTTGTTTTGGAAAATATAAACAGATGGTTCAATATAATGTTAACGTATACTTTCTCTGCGAATTTATGTTTTGAATTTTTACTGCAAATGTCACATCCATAACCCTGGAATCAGCCACATATATATATATATATATATATATATATATATATATATATATATATATATATATATATATATATATATATATAAAGTGAGGTCTCAGATCAGACAAGAAGCACTGCATTAAATCCCATGTTACCATTTCCTCCATGTCTTTAAAATATGACAGTTTATTTTACCCCAGTATTTTCAATAGAGTTTCTGTGCTTGCCTGCTGGTATTGACGGCAATTCGTTGTTCATCTCGTTTTATTTCTGAACAACTAAATGAACACTTAAGTCTATCTAACTGAATGTACTTTAATTACAACACTGATGCTGTAAAAGGAACCTTATGACATTGAAAATAGTCACATTAAGCTTTAACCGAAAGTTTATCATTGGCTGAAAAACACTAGCTGTGCATATACCCCACTGGGATGGTACCATTTTCAAAGGTTTATATTTGGGCCTTTTTATCAGTAAAATGCATATGCTCTTAGTACCGTACAAATGTATTATATCTAAAGCCATTTATTAAGTGATGTCCCGGTGAAAGATTTTGTCCCTTTCACCTCTAAATATTCTCTAAATTCTCCAAACATATGAGCAGACATTTTTACGGCTCTCTTATACGGTACAGGAGAAACCAGGATAAGCACAAGAACTGTTTAGATGAACAATACAGCAAAAGCCTCCCTGTTTTTTATGAATTACTAAGGACCACGGTTTAGCCTAAAAATATATTGTTATTTTTTGCTATTGCTTTAAGGCAATTCGCACTCTACATCTAGGAATTCAAAGTGGTACTGTGTTTACTGTTAAAGAATGCAAATGTATGTACTATTTATTCCATTTCAGCATTCATATCGCAATGTGATCATTCGTAATAGTCACATCATCATGAGCATACGCAATGTTGAGTCTGGATTTTAATTAATTATTTTGCAGAAAAGTGTTTTTGTCCTTTGACAAACTGATAACAATTGAATTGTTTATAAAACAAAGACATGCAGTATTATTTTACATTTGATTATTACATTTCTGTATACCTGAATACAGTTTGACTCATTGGAAAACAACCAAACGCTGTTTATTTAATTTGTATTTTTTTTTTTAATTGAATGTATCTACGCTTGTAGATTGTTTCTTATATTTTATGCATAAGTACTCCCCTACAGAATCTTCCCAATCAATTATTGAATCTCAATTCTTCCAAAATTCTTTCAAATAGTTATTCAACTAATCTAGTGAAATTGTATTCATATTGCAATGTAAATCGCAAAATAAAAAATAAAAAATATTGCAATGTTATCATGCAATCCTAGTATGAAAGGTTTGTTCATTTACTACTTATTTAAAATCATGAAAACACAAAAGTGCCCCCTAATACCTACAAAGCATAATTACAAGTTTTATCATAATATGCAGATTATATAGGAATACTCTAATATTGCAACATAAGTGAACCACAAGGACTAAATCAAAAATAGTCAAGTAAATGGTGCATGTAAACACAGCCAGTGAAAATGAGGTCTGTTTTTATAAATGCAGACACAAAGGGATGCCTCATATGTGTCTGGAATATCAATATTTAAAAATCCAATTTTAAATCCGCTAAAAGTGAATGTGGCTGCTTTCTTTTGTGTCTTGTCATCATCATGGCTCAAACTACCAATTACGTATAGCTTATTTTCAATGACAAGACACCAACACACACAAAAAAACGAATGCTGCTAAATGTGGTGTATTTGCTATACACCAGCAAAAATGTATATATTACGATGAGAATACTTTACAATGGCACGTTGTTTTTGGCGTTGCAATGCTTTCTATAGCTATAATGGGTATTGCATAATATCTCTGTTATGGTATGCAACATTCAAGAGCAGCAAGAATAAATAGCGAAGCAGATGCCATGATGGCGAAATCATAAATAAAATGGCCATAACGAGAAAAAAATATTACCGTTTATTGGGAAGACTCTTCATTCCTTCGTCGCTGAAAACAAGGAAGGTAAAGCGAAGCGAATAGCTAAAATCCAGTGGCGAATACAATAGCTGCATGTAAGGCGCTGAGAGGAGCGCAGAGGAGAGCAGCACGTCAGAGCGCGCGCACGCACACCAGCAGCCTGTACAGTTCAATCCTGACTGGCAGCTGCTCACGTGACCTGCCAGGGAAATATTCCAACCGCTACAGGCAGGCCAAGTCACGTGACCAGCTGCCAACTATGGAAATTATGATTTACCATAGCAATCAAGTGGGCAATGGCATACGCTTCTCAGTGTAAGAGAATATGCAAAATATATCGGTAGTTTGGTGTGGCCAGCCTTGTGCCTTAAAGCAATAGTTCACTCCCAAAAAATGATAAAGTTTGAAAACCTTTTTGAGTTTCTTTCTTCTGTTGAACATTAAAGAATTTATTTTGAAGCTGTTAGTTCTCCCAAAAATGAAAATGTAATCTTCATTTACACACATTTATGAGATGTTTCTGTTCAACATGGATGCAGATATTTAATACTATGAAAGTAAATGATTTCTTCAGACTATATTCTTTTGTGCCTTTAAGAGAATAAAAAACATCAAAAATAGTTTGGAACAAGGGGTGAATAAAGATGACAGTATTCTTATTTTGGAGTGAACTATATCCATTTAAACAACAGTTATGTCTGGATCTTTCAGATTACCTGATAGCCGCGATATTCTGCCACTCGTCTAGCCTCTTCACCCTTGTGTATTACTCCGCCTACATTCAACAAGAAGTACACTCCACAGTTTGACAAATATTGCTGCTGTTGGACAACATAATGTACTTTTGAGGCTTTTCAGTCGAGAATGTAGTTGTTTAGATTCCAACTATGCAGTTTATTTATAAGGACAGTGCCTATTTCAAAATATTTATAATTTCTGAGAGCGTCAGTAGCCATTAGCCTAGTATTGAGCGGAGAAAAGATGTTCTTCATCCACAAGATGGCGACAGAGAAGGCATAATAAGTTCTTAGCTGATTAAAACAACATAATTTCTGACTACAGCTGATCAAAACATTATTAAACAGGTAAGTGATATTTTAAATCAATCTCTATTTTTTATGTTGTAGTGCTCTATTTCAATTGTAGTGTATTGACTGTGAGATGTGACTCACATATCAGTAATGTATTTTGTGTTGGCCACTCTTTGTATAACCCTTAGTTACTTTTTGTTTGGCCATCTATGTCTCCTGTTTTCGTTACTTCAGACTAGTTTAGTAAACAGAAAGAAAAAAATAAATGCTGCATGTGTTTAACATTTTCCTTATCGCTAACACAAAAGTAAGCTGGTAGTGAGTGCAATGCTTTTTCGGGGTTAATTACAGTTTTTTTCAGTCGCTTTGGTGCATTTCTTACAACTGGTCCTGACACCATTGTTTATGAAGATAGCCAGATGGCTTTGTCATGTTTTTATTATGATGTAAGTTACATTTCTTCAATGCAAAAAATATTTTGTTGACACATCCTGAAAATGCTCAAGACAGCACTACTATTAGTACAGTCATTTGAAAACTACAGTAAATTTAGACATCACTGCATTTAGTGAGGTAGTATAAGACACTGAATATGTATGTTTCACATTTTTACTGCATTCACTCTTTACAATCCTAATTTATTCACAGCATTGTTCAAAAGAATAAATACAACCTTATTTACAACAAACAGAAACTTCCTTTGAGCAGAGCTGTGCACAATTGTAAAAAATATTGCAGTACATATTGCAACTGAACCTACAACATACACAGGTCTGTAAATCATTCATGAAATTTAGAAGACATTTTCATGAAAAAAAAGATTTCAAATGTTTTTTAAATTTGCTTGATAGATTTTGACAACTAGTTCGTCATTTTTGTATGTAATAACTCAAGTAATGAAATGAAGACTATTAGTTTTAAATGGAATGACTATTCAGCATTCACAAGTTTAGTTCATTTAGACTGACATGACATAAGCAAATGATAATGTTAGAAAACAACAGAGAGTTGTATGAAAGCAGTTGATGCATGTTCAAAAGCATTTGCAGTTTGTTGGAAGGAATGAGAAACCGCTACTATGATGTGCACAAATGACTAATTGTTTTGAGAAATGCATTAAGTGTTGTGCAAATGTAAATAGTGTTGTGAGAAATGCACCAAAGCCACTGAGAAACACAGTTTTGTGTTAACCAGATCGCAACAGAGAAATACTGGAAAATCTCTGTAGACTGATGGCATTTCATGCCTTTCAGCTTTATAATCTTAAAATGTCAGCAAAATCACCAGTTTTTTTCATCACTTTAGACATTAGACATTTTCTATTTTAGATACATGATTATGCCGTCAAACTGTTGTATAAACGGAATATCACACTGGTATCAATGCACGCCTTACACCAGTGCCGATATACAGCCTCATTGCACTATATATATATTAATTTATTTATTTATTAATTTTCCTTCGGCTTAGTCCCTTTATTCATCAGGGGTCACCACAGTGGAATGAAGCGCCAACTTATCCAGCATATGTTTTATTTGCGGATGACCTTCCAGCTGCAACCCAGTACTGAACACCCATACACTCTTATTCATTCATACACACACACAACCAACTGACCCAGCCAGAACTTGAACCAGCAACCTTCTTGCTGTGAGGCAGCTGTGCTAATTACTGAGCCACCGTGACGCCATCAAAAACAATATTCATTCATTCATTCATTCATTCATTCATTCATTCATTTTCTTTTCAGCTCAGTCCCCTACAAATTGTTAGAATCCTCTGTCTTTTATATGGGACAGATATATTTAATATATGGATGTTTATTATAATGTAACTTTTTAAAATTACAAATGGCAGAGCCTTTCTTCTTTTTTGTTAGATATACATGTCCATTATAGTAGATAGCAGGACAGCAAACAAAAACAAATAAAACAAACAAACAAACAAACAAACTAAACAAACAAACAAACAAACACAAAAAGCACAACACAGGTAGGTAGGTGTTTGGTAGGTATATAGACAGACAGACAGACAGACAGTTCAGAACAGCGCTGTGGAATCAGACCAATTGTGCCATCTGCTGGTGAATGTGGGTGAGACACTTTTGGGCTTCAATCAATGAGATCTTTTAACAAAAAACATATTTTGAATAGGTTTTTTAACCACTAGAGTGGTGCATTTTCTAACTGAAGTCATATAAGAAAAAACAATTTGTTTACCAAAATTTTCCTTAAAATGTCTGTTAATATGTTCTTCAAAGTAAGAAGTACACATTTCAAATGCAAAGATGAGTATAATCACAGTTCTAACAACCCCTTTGTTTATATTTACATAAATTTTTGACTGAAAATTAAATATTAAATTATTTTGTTCATTGAAATATTTCTCAAAATCGAATCTAAATCTGCCACTAGGTGGTAGTAAGCGTCTAATTAAGTTGTCCATTTTTTAAAGGAAAGCTGCACGCGTGTTGGTCGTTGACGCCTGACTGTTAATATAAAAACAGTTTTGCTGTGGCTTTATGTACTTTCGTTTGCTTAATTAATTATTTTTTTATTAACAGAATTGTTATATACCATTAATATCACATTTGTAATTCTACTTCGGACAAAAACAGCCTTTGATGAACTGCTATGCTTGCCTTCATGTGATGCTAACGTTACCTTTAGGCATATAGTACATTCACTGACACGCGGAGATCAGACATATTTTATTTAGTATTAAATTCTCCAGTTTACTCCTCGTCTGACTTCAGAAAAACAACACCGCCTCGTTATCACAGCAGGTTATGTGTGATATAATTTATGTATGATTACTTTTAGCTATTATACTGCTATTGTACTTATTTTCTTTTTCCTTTTGACTGCAGATTGTTCTGTTCTAGATCTGACCACAGCATCACAAACTGTAAGTAAGTTGTCTGTAAATTATTGTTTTATAGTCAAAAGTTCCATCACACAGCCCCTGTTTCAGCATGGTTTTTCACACCTCCATTTGAAACGCTTTTTGGTCTTTCCAGCTGAAAGAATGTGACACTGGTATTGAGAGCGGTTCAGTTACAGCGGTTCGTTGAGCATTTTTTCCTCCATCTGTTCTACTGTCATTAACTGAACATATTACAGTTTTTCTTAGTTGTTTACACACAATTTATTGTACTACAGACACAATTTCTACAACATGTAACTGATGCACCAACCCCCTGAACCAATTCTGCTAAACTACAAGCACAATTCCTGCATTAAACTCAAATTGCAGGTTTACAACACACTTTTTTTCAAAACACTACACACAATTCTCTGCATTTTACACAATTTTCATGCAGAACATCTTTTGTTTTCACAAGGAACACACTGTCATTCACAATTGTAAAGTCAGTTGCCTTACTTTGCATGCTAACTCATCACATGAGTAAACACCTTTTACACAGAATTTCAATTTAGAAATCAGGAAAGGCAAACTTTATTTATAGAGCACAATTTAACACAACCATAGTTGATCCAAAGTGCTTTACAATAAAATAAACTAGACAATAAAACTAAAAATAACTGGTATTAAAAATGCAATGAAATATATTTAAAAGTAATACTAAAATATAAATAATAAAAAAAAATAACATGCATGCATCAGTCAAAGGCAAGAGAGTAAAAATGTGTTTTTAAGTTAGATTTAAAAGCATCCAAAGAAGGAGAGATTCTGATATTCAGAGGGAGACACTGAACACTGAAAGCTCGATCACCCTTTGACTTGCAGCGAGACCGAGGGACAGACAAAAGAAACTGATCATGTGATCTTAAGAATCTACAAGCTGTATATGGCCTAATAAGCTCGCTGACATAGGCCGGGGCAGAATTGTGCAAAGCTTTATAAGTGAAAAGAAGAATTTTAAAATCAACCCTGTATTTTATAATCAGAGCTCATCTGGATCATAACTGGTTCACTGCCCACCCACAATTTTTAGTGGTTTATATCCCTCCATATTCTCCATTCCTCAATCCTATTGAGGAATTGGTTTTCTGCCTGGACATGGAAAGTGTATGACCGAAATCCACACACACGTATACCCCTATAGCAGTTGATGCTTTTCATGGCTGGATTCGCCATGCAAGGTGACATTTCCCCCACTGCTTGGCCAGACCAAACAGAAAAGAG